AATCAAGGTTTACTTTAACGAGTGAGATGTTTACTGCCGAAGCGTAGCTGAGGCAGGAATTTCGAAACGAGTAACGTTAACTGATTTAACATACAAATAAAGTAAAACATTTTATTTCATACTGCTCTTTTTCTTATTAAAAGGCCATACAATTTTTGATTAGAATGTTGTACGCATTCAAATAAAAGCAAAAGTCGATCACTTGATTTGTTTGATTTGACAGTAGTTTGACACATTAATATACAGGTTTATATGGACGTCAGTTGATGTTGCTAGGCAACATTTCCAGTCTGGTAAAAATTTTCAGTCTGGTAAAATACGATTTACCAGACTCAAATGGGTCTGGGAAAGCGGCGATTACTAGATAGTATGAAATAATAGTACATTATATATCAAGGTAGAGAAGTCCACTATTATTGCCTGAGCACCAAGATTACATCTCGAGGCGCTTGCGCCGAGGGGTGTAAGGTGCGAAGGCAATAATAGACTTCTCTACCGTGGTATATATACTATTTTTTTCACTACTAGCACTTGAAATCCTCTAAATTAACATATTATATTGATAAGAGAGTTAACGGTTGGACAGAATTGTTTGTTTCTTAATTTAACATGTCAATCAAGTACGTGGAAGTACAAGTCAAACAGGCCGTATTTTGTTCTGTCATTGAGATTTTTCAAAGAGTAATTTCGTTCGAATTTTTTCAAAATGTGATAATTTTAGGTATGTAATTTCTCTGGAAATTGCGAATGGTGGCAATTATTCGTTTTAGAGAACTTGTCTAAACGTTCATTGAGCGAAATTTCGGGTTGTGTTTTCTAAAAGTGACAGCGTGACAGTTCTCATTATTGACTACTAGTTAATAATAAAAAATTATTAACCACTTTGAACAAATGCCGAGAAAGCCTACTTTACAAGTGGAAAAAAGGTTAATAATCATGTCATCAGACGCTAGTAGTGAAAAAAAATAATTATACTCTTTCGTAGGCCGGGTGGTTTATTACTCCTAATTCTGGGACGTACTATACATAAATTTGAATGTTGTACGAACTACGAAATGTAGCAAAAAAATTACAAACATTCTGACGGAAAGACCAACCTTAATTACATATACCTACCTATACCTACCTTTGTGCAAATTAGGCACATTAATTCTGAAGAACAAAAATACCTACTGTTTACTTTTAATAAAAATTGTTGTTAATTTGAGGGTTCAAAATTGTGCTAACCAACGATAAATTTCGAATAATTTCAATGCTACTTTGTTTTGAGGTACAACAATTTTATCGTTGGACGGAATTGTCTCACATTGTGTCCCATGTAATAATTGCCTAGGCAGCCTAGGACCATTACAGGTGGTAATGCTAGGACGCAAATGAAGCGAGCGAAAGGTTTCCGACACATAATCACAGTTAAAAGATAAGAAAATTTCCTTGCATTTTTAGCACCTCCCATGAATGCATTTGTCTCACAGGTTTCTCTGTCTATATAAAAGTTCGGTAATTTGCCGTAATGTGACGCTAAGATACAGAGTTAAATATTGGCAAAACAGTGCTTCCGTTCTCCCCATAAAATTACAAAAACTGACTGTTTTTTAATGATCTTTTTCAATATACTAATAAATAAAGAGCTAATGTATGCCTCTCTAATAGTAAAATTTTCATTTTTTGCTTTTTTAAGAAGAAATTGATCTTTAAAAATCACTAAAATGTCGCAACTTTAACGCCGTATATTTTGTTTTTTTCGCTTTTTTTTAAAAAAATGGCATTAGAGAAGCACGGCGGCATTCTTGATGAATCGATATCAATCAACACATCAGTAAAATACCTTTGTCATACCTTAAATTTATAGGGACAACGTAGAGATGTTTAGGCAGTTAATATACGGAGTCCTTATGCCTCTTAAACTTTTATACTCGTAGATGTATAACCATTTTCTATGTTACTATTTAATATTGTTTTTTTTTTAGTTTCCATAATTCGAATGTGACCGTGAGACATCATTTTTAGGCGAACGATAATATCTGTAGAACATTGCTACGTATGGCAGAGTATTTATCTGGGAGGAATGAAAATCCTTAAATCCTTTAAAATTGACCACTTAAGGTACGCGCACATAGAACGGCATCGGACGGACGGTTTTCTACGTTTTTTTAAAAGAGTGTCGCACATAAGTTATCGGAATCACCGGAATAAATTCAGTTTAGTCTTAAAATGTCTTCGTGCGGTGAAGCAATAGCCTTCGTTCTGGCAGAAGAAAAGTTAAAAAAAAATACTGGGCCGCAGGAAGAATAATCTGATTCAACTCGGACTTCTGAGTAAACCCTCATTTTATCCAGTACATCATATTTCTTCTTTCATCTTCTATCGTTACCACTTTCCAGCTTTCTCGTCGCTTGCGATGCTTCGACGCCCTGTGTAAGAATCCCCTTTTTCACTATCTCCTCGTAGTTACAGTTCCGTGTGAAGGCTCCATGTCCAACTTCCTTTTCCTAGCTTCTCGCAGTTGCCACAGGTTGTTTTTACTTGCACTCGCTGGCTTTATGTCCCACTCCGCAACAATTAAAACATAGTAGATATCGACCGAAAAAATCGTGTTTATTTTATTTGGGACATATTTTTAAACCTTTTGCTAAAGTATCAGATAGGTGATTGTGGAAACAATTTTTCCGTGGAAATTAACAGTAAAAAAATGTTAACGGAAACATAATTAATAGATATTGCAATCAAACAGGTTATAAATCCCCATTTTTAATCATGTTTCTACACCCAAACACATTGTATAACATCTAGAGCACTCATTCTATCAACTTCCAGTCAAAAGGATATCTAAATTTTTTAGTGTCCTTATACATACCTACCTAATTTACTATTTAAAATCTTAATTTAGTATCATATACCGATCTAAATTACATATTTCACGATAGACGCTAAAGCTCTTTCCAGTTGAGGTTGTTTTGAAAGAGCGTCCATTACACAATTTGATTTTATCTTAGAGGAACAAGGAAATCTTAACGAGGATTGTTTGGATTAAGGGTATAAACTCTACAATTATTTTGAATAGGGTTTATGCCTGACACTTTGCCTATAATTAGTTTCATACACACAATCTCAATAGCATTAATTTATTTACCAACGCCGGCCGAATAATGTCATAGATTGAGTCGCCGTCTAATAATAGAGAACGTTTTTAACACATTGTTTATTCATGTGCCCCAATGTTTTATCCTAATCCACTCCAGCGATTTATCCCATTTCATATTCATCCGGCGCTTTCATCAAAAATAAATCAGAATCCGTAAATTTCACTTGCCTATTAATTGAACTAAGAAGGCACTTAGTTCCAAAATCAATGGAAATATTCAAAGTTATACAGAAAGATTAAAAATGATTGGCAGGTGTTTCAATTTCCCGCATCAGCCAAAATATCACCGCTCAACAAATTATAAAACATGATCGGCAATATACGTAGGTACATAATAATTTACTTATTAACACAATCAATCACTGCCATAAATAAACCCATTTGTACTAAAAGCTTAATGTGATTATATCTCGAAGGTCGATGCTTATTCGTAGGAACAGGGAGCGATTTGATCTTAAATTTATGAGCATTCGAAGATAACAGTATTACCAGAGTTAGAGCAGTATCTATCGGGTTCATCGTGAAACATGGAATTAATACCTTAAATTATTATAATAAAACATGCGAACCTGGTTGACGTTAAGGTTGCGATTGTTTTTTAGAGATGGTCATAAACGTCAGTCCAATAAAGTTTATAGCCTAAAGGACCACTTTTGGTGCTCACTACTTAAATAAGGTACACTTTAAAGGGTAAACTTTCGTCGGAATTTTGTGTGCTCTGAATAACACACGCGGCGGGTAGCGCTATATTTCTTGACACTTTCACGGAATATTTTAATGTGCGTTGTAGACATCCGTGCGGAAAACTTGTCAGAAGTTTAGCATAATATTAAAGAGTGACAGTAAATGTGCAACTTTAAGTTGGTAGAAACCCCATACTTCCAACAAAGTTACCAATTACTCGCAGTTCAAACTAAGGGATGCAGCTACGTGTGCGGATTTGTGTTTAGGATTGGAGACAGCCCTTACTAGTTTACAAAATGCGCCACGTTTATTTAACCTTAGTAATTCAATTAATAGTCGTACTATAGGCATCTAGCTAGAATAACCTTCATCTCCCTAGGCCCCATGTAATGTTGTGCTCGGTTGTGGATTTTCACGCTCTAGGTACCCTTTCATGTAGAAATCAGTCTTATTATTTGGGAAAGTGCATGCGACGACCGACGTTTCGCTATCGAACGGATAAGCATTGGTATTAAATTAATTGTAGTTTATTGAGTTGATTTCCCAGTCTTTTAGTAATCTCCTGTTGGAGACTACACGGATTTCAGTCACGTAGAAAAGTGTAACACCAATTTTCATCTAATGGCTTATTGACATGTTTGAAGTAAACGTAGGTAGGTACAAACCATATTTAGCTTTTCCTCACGAAACCCCAAATACAGATATGTCGATTCACGTTCCTAAAAATGTGCGGTCGTTATTGTACATTATCTAATTTCACAATCTCTGAAGCCTTACTAATGTGTAAGTTTCTGTACCATCATGTGTTTCATGTGAATGTGCTAAATATAAACCGTCTACTTTCTTCGTATTCAATGCATATTTTAAGATGTATGAATAAAATTTTCTTTCATAGCGTAATGCTTTGAATAAAATACCTATTATTCGTCGATGGGTTTTATTGAAATTGCCAGACATAGTGCAAGCTAATACAACAAAAATCGGTGAAAGGGACTGTAACAAAAACCACAGATATTTAATAATGGGTTTCTCGTAAAAAAAGTTCGATATGTTACGCACAAACATCGAGAACGCTATAATAATTGTGTGCAGAAGCAAGTTAACCAAAGTTATTATAACCTTTTCGTATTGGCAAAAATACCAATTCGATAGGTTCATGAAGAGGTAACGTAAATACGGTCAGTCGTTAAATGGACAACAAAATAAATCAATCAAGAAACAAACTATCTGGTAAGAAAACTGTATGGCAATGGTTCATACAATGTTGGACCGATACCCCTTCGCTCGGCTCAAAACCGGAGAGCATAAGGATTATTAGGGCGCCAGGGTTGCGTTGGACAAATTAGGGTACGATTAATAAAAAAAACCCAGTCCTAGAACTATAGGAAATAAACCATTGACACAAATAATTGATTCTTTAATGTTCGCTAAAATAATAACTGGTTCGTCAATATTATTTTTCTTAATATAAAATTTGTTTTTTTTAAGGACTACTAGAAATGAAAAAGAGGTGAATGTTTGAGTGGGTGTTGTGGGGTTTTACCGGAGATCTCTTACAGATTGCGTATGTCGTGATTACTTCACAATATGTTTTGTGTTGGATGATTAATGAGGTGAGTTTAAATTATAAACAGTTTTTCTGACCTTACTCCAAATTGATTTCTATTTTTTTTATTGTTTTAGGACTCGGTGAAGGTTACCAAACGACGGTGTTGGACGAGCTTCTGATGTGGATTCCGGCTCCAGAGGTAAATAGGTATTGGTCAAACTTGGTAAATTAAGGTATTTTAACTATTTAATAAATAGGTAATAAATAAACCCTAAAATAAATTAGGTATAATTAAAATAAGTTTTTGCTTATACACTTCTTCTTACCAAATGCTATTGGGTTTATTTGTTAATTAAAAGGAATTTCATATAATTTCAAATATCACATATGCATGGCATGGATCTAAAATCTGAAACGGAATTTTGAGAGTTATAAAAGAATTACCATGAAATAATTACTTACTTAGTTTATGTTTGTAGTAAATATATCAATCAATTTAATTAATTTTGAATTTCTTACAGGATTACAACAATATTCTGGGATTCATTCAAGCATTCATCCTCTAACAACCATTTTTCTTACGCTCAGTCACGTCTATCCTCTCCACATTCGATAACCCCTTGACCCTTACCAGTTACCTTTATCAAAATTCTTATTGTTGGTTACCTTGAGTTTAAATTTTCATATCTAGCGGGAATTTTAATTTAAATGTAAACGGAAACGTTACATTATGTGAGAAGTTTAAAGTTGAAAAATCAAGCAGTTAGTGCACCCTGAGACCTTCTATTGAGATTCTTTATTAAGAGTTACAAGTTTGTAGCGTCTGGAGAGCCACCGGCAATTTGTCATTTTATTCATCAAGTTAATATTGTGTGTCATCAAGTTTTGTGTGTTGAAGAAAAGTGAAGTTCAGAACCTGTTAGCGTTTGTGTCATGTGTGTGAAGTTAAGTGCACATTGATATCGCAAATCTTTATATAAGATTATTAAAAGAGAAAATTTGTAAGTAATTTAAGCTGTTTAATATTTTTATCTATCGACCGTCTGAGTGCAGAGTAATTTGTCCAAACAAGCTTTGTAAGCGTTTCTTTCTTTCAGGAAGTTTGTTCTAAGTTTTCATTGCATGTGCTTTCGAATAATTTTTGTCATTGTTTGTTTATTCGAATCCTTTGTGTGATCCGGATAGAGTTTTCATGTCATATTTTTCTTCTCGTGTCCAAGAATTCTGTCAGATGTTAATTAAAATTTGTGTAGTTAATCCTTTCGAATTTTTTGGAGTTGATCGAGGCTACTGACTCCCCAATCCTTTAATTGGAGTCAATATTGGGATTTTTCTTTGTAGCAGATGCAGGAAGTGTACGAGGGGAGATTATAAAAATTGTAAGTATCAATTTTGATTTGCTTGAACTAGCTGGGTAGGTGTTTTGTGGGTAGTGTAGTTGACCGCCTTCTATTGCACACAGCAATTCTTTAACACGAAAATAAAGCAAATAATACTTTAAACAACTAAAACAAGTACATTTTAATAAAAACAGATATTGAACCAGATTGTACAAATCCTGTGGTGTGGTATGATCTTTATTATCTTTATTATTACCTACTAAGAATCCGGTCTTTCGATTCTATCCTTCTTTAACGATTGGATGCATGATGAAGTACAATGGACGGCGATGTTAATGATGCAGGAAAAGGTGATTGAACGATACAGTATGAACGGAATAAACGGAAAGCGGTATGAAATGAATAACTGGAAAGCGGATGAACGGTTTTAAGTTTTCAGGTGTGGATATCAGGAAGAATTGTTTCGTGAAGTCGAGGTGGGATCTTCCTTTTATACAGATATGATTACTTATAAGACAGGGAAGTGGAAATGATATTGCGCGCCATGTTTTGTTATTGTTAGTTAGTGAAATGTAGTAATCGACAATTATAGTTAGGCAACGTTTACACGCTCCATAAATAAAGTAACGGATACATTGTTACGTCAAAACCCATCCAATTCGCATTGTATTCGCTTTTAAAATGACCACAACGCGTTATGGGCATAAGTTCACGACCATAACACGGAAAAATATTTAATTTTGGTGTGTGGTCATTTAGCTTCGTCAATAGCGCATTATGTGCGTTATTTTGAGCGATTTCGATATTTATGCGTAACAGATACACTAGGTACCTACCTTCTTTCGAGATCCTCATAAACGAGAGATTTGAAGGGTGTGGGTAAAACCCGGACCCGGACTTGGCGGGTAAAAGCCGAACCCGTGTGAGTAATACTAATTTTAACAGCGACCGCTTGTTCGAAATTCGGACTGCGACTTCTTTATGGTTTAGGAAAGAACCATCAATAGGGACAAAAGTCACAGGGATTCTGGTGGATCGGGAACGGTAAAAATTCAAATGCAACTTCATACAATTAGATATAGCGATTTTTGAGAAATTTTAACAATAGGTCCCTTGAATAACAGGAAATTCAGTAACTGGCCATACACAGAGAGGTTGATCCGCCGGTGTAAACTGCTACAGATAAATCTGTCAGTTCGATGCGTCACTGACAGATAATCATGTCTTGGTTAAATGTGTACGTTTGAACCGCGCCATTCCAAACCGCCGGATCAACCTCTCTGTGTATGGTTGTGTATCAAAAATTCATATATCTTAAAGTAATAGCTCAATAACTATCCGATATAGGCATACAGATTGTTAATAAAAGTGGTCCTAAAATTTAGCTCTACATTCATTTCTGGCATCAGAACTAGTAGTTGCAACTTGCAATTTGAAAAACTGAAGTTTTTGAGGTTTTGAGTATTAAATAGGATGGTCACTTATGTTAAACGGTTTAAGAGATATGAATTTCTGCAACTCCAAATTATAATAATTATAATAATTAAAATGTATTTACTGCAGGGGAAATTTTTAGAAGAAGCATTGGGTAAAATTTGAAAAAAATATCTATAGGTATATAACGAAATTGACTTGCGCAGCATGCGCATGCGCACATCAGATTTACGATATGCTTGTCTTTACCAGAAGGATGTGTGATTAACATTTTAAAAAATATCTCTGTAAATCTAAATAGGAAAGCTGAATCCATAATGGTATCGAACTCGCAGGTATATATCATTGATAAATATTAGGTACACTATGCGCAACGTTATTTGGGCCGGATTTAAGGTAAGACCGCACCAGGTGGAACTACACTGCAATGGAGAGACGCGACGCTACGAAGTAAAGGGTTTTCCATTAAGGACGTTAATCTTTAAATTTGAATAAAACATGGTGTGTTAGATATCTTCGATTTTTTTTATTATTAGAAAGGCCAATGAATGACATTATGTATGGAATATGATATGGTCACATGGCCACCGTGACTTCGTTGCGTGGCACGTATACGAGAGGTCCAATTTTCGATTACTCTGGCACACAAATCGGGCTGAATCTCGTTGATGCATTGAGTAATGTTGTCTTTAAGGGCATCGGTGGTTTGCGGCTTATTCGCGTAGACCTGCGACTTAAGAAAAAGTCTAACGGGGTCAAATCGCACGATCTCGGTGGCCAGTTGACGTCACCTCTGCGTGAGATAACCAACCGATGACCCATTTTCGTAAATCAATTTTACGATTTGTACACGTTGTTGAACACTAAGACTCTCCAACACAGCCAATTTGACAGATGGAGCTAAAACAATATCGCCGCAATCAACTGTCAAAATTTAACGTCCCTATTGGAAAACCCTTTATTTATACCGATGTCGCATTCGAACATTGCCGTTAGAATTATTGCTAACATTTCATTTAAAGATGATTGTCGGCAAGCTGTCATTGATCACCAAATATTAACGCTTCCATCATTTTTATTTTTACTTGTCTTTGTTTTGTTAAGCGCAATGAACATTATTTTGTTAAAAATTGCGATGTTCATAATTATGACACCCGCAACAAATTAAATGAATTTGTCCCTTTTTGCCGTTTAAGACGCAAAACAGTTTTGATTATATCAATATAAAAATGTATAATTATATTCCTCCCAATATTAAGGCTTTACCTTTTAATTTATTCAAATCAAGAACTAAAGCATTTCATATTGATAAAGCGTTTTACTCGTATGAGGAATTTTTCAGTACAGAGTTCTTTTCGTGACAATTAAGTATTGTTGTTATAATTTTGTTTGTTCTTACATTTGTAATATTTTTATTTTGCTTTTGTATTGACTTATGTATGTAGGCTGTTCTACAAAACATTAAATAAGCTTTATTAAAAAAAAAAGAACAGCTGTGACACGACACTGTAACATTTAAGTCATAGGGCGTCTTTTGAGCAATAGGGCTGAAATTAAATTAATTCTTGCTCCATTTTGACAAACAAACTGTTGTTCTTGTATCTTGTACGGGAAACACGAGTGAATATCACTGTCGGTCGTGTCGCTTGCTGTAAGTACCGCACTAGCGGCAGATGAACGCCACGTCGCGACAGAGTGGTGAAAAAGTTAATCTTGTAGGTCAGAGCCGTGCCGCGCCGCGTAGTTACGGATAACATGTCATATAAATACGTCGTGCCGAGTTGCTCCACTGCAGTTCATCTAGTGTGGTCTTACCTTAAACAATAGGTATATAAGGCGTTCCTAAAAACTAACACAGCAAGTACAACACATAACTATAAAACAACAATCACATTATACGAAAACAAAATCAAAACTACAGGGAACATAAAGACATAATTTACACAAACCGTTTAAAACAGTATAGGGAAATTGTAGATATAAATAAAATGTCATAAGGCCTTAACACACAATTTAAACGAAACGAAAAACTATTTTCTCTACGACGATTAAGTAGTGCACTGATGCTCGTAGAATATTTAATGAAATAATGCAGAAATTCATCACATCGTGATTTCTTACAAAGAAACACGTCCTTTGATTTTTCAGATTTCACGGGAACATGAAAGAATCACATTTGCTTTGTAAATAACTAACCGAGCGTAGGTATCTTAGCAACCCCGTAAGTCGCCATTTGAAACGTCAAATACACAACTCATTTCTGATGCTGTTTCGTGATAAATATGTACGTCTCATGAAATTCGAGAAACTGCTCAAGCATCCACAATGAATTTACTGCCGGAAAAATCAAAAAGGCAGTATACGCAAATGTATACATTTATGGAATGGAGACA